AAAAGGCCAAACACATAGGCAACCCTTTTTGTTGGCTTAATATTTAAATATGACTCTTAACTTAGTTTTAACGGATAATTATGACCTTCAATTTTGAGTGTACATAAATAGACACTTAAATTTGTATAAAATTGAACAACTAGCCACGTGTTTTACATGACATAATATATGTAGGACGTCATATAAGACACAAAATTTCCATGTAGGGAGTCGACGAATGTATCCATTTGTTCGATTTTAAACAAATTTAAGTGTTTACATATGCAAACACAAAGTTAGAGATCATAGTTACCAGCTAACGCCAAATTAAGTGTCATATTTATGCATTATACCCTTTTATTTGTTTCTAATTAAATTTAGTTTTGACACTCCAATTCAATCTTGTTTCATTATAACTCTTCAATATCAAATTTTATTTACCATTGAAACACAAAATGCTGGATAAATTGACAAGATTACTCACCTTTTAAGCGAATGAGATATCTTTTTTAATATTAATATTCAACATTTTTTTTTATCGTTAACAAGCTTCTCCTTTATTTATTTCTTCTATCTCCTCTTCAAACCTATTTTCCTTCATCTACTTTACTTATATTTTTATGTTCTTTATCTACCTCCTTTTTTTTTTAATCTAATCTTTCTATGCTAAGATAATATTCTTTTTATTTTAATTTATATAATTCTCTTGATCTATATGAAATTACAAATATCAGATATTCTACTTTATAAAGGACTAAACAAATTGTTAAAATGATAAGTAAAGAGGTAGATCGAGGAGAACGATATTATATCAAAATTTAAAACTATAATTATTAGAATGATGTCAAATATTTTATCGACGCCCTATACATTGAAAAATATAGATATATTCATAATAATATAAACTTGATACTTAGATTAATCAGTGACACTAATCGATCTAAGCAATAAATTTAGTAATCAATTGGATATATATAGTTAATTAATTATATATTTTTATGTCACTAAAAAATGATAAATTGATATAATCAGTGCAAACATAAAATTAATCCAAAGGAGTTGAAGATTAAAATGAAAAAAATCGAGTTAAGTGTCTTTCTATATGTGTTTTGACCTTAAGAAAAGGACAGACATGCCTCCTAATTCTCTAAGGATGATAGATCCGCATTAATAGCTTCACCAGTTTCAGCCATATCATGTAATTAAAATAAAATAAAATAAATAAAATTAGGATGGCAGTGTTTAATTAGAAAATTAATTAATATAAGAAAACATAAGACTGTTAGGAGTTGACTTTACAGGTTGGCTGCTTGGAAGTGAACCAATCTATATTTTAATTAATAATATTCACAAGCCAATACACCTACTTTTGCCCCTTCAACTTTTGCAAGCTCCTCAAAGGGTTTAGTCACATTCTTTCACATAACAACAATATTCATTCCAATTCAAGGTTGCTAATTAATGATAATATCAACTTCTTCTATCTCAATTTACGTGATATGTTTTATTTTCTATAGAGTTAAATAATTTATGTTTGATTAAGAATTTCCATACAAAAGCCTTATTTTTTAATTAAATTCATATAATTAAAAACTACGTTAAAAGTACTATAGTCATAATAATTGACAATCCAAAGTATTTGAAAGATATATGAAAAAACTTATGATTAGAGTTAGACTTGTTTGAATCTCGATATTCGAAATATGTCACATAAATTGAAACAGAAGAAATAATGAATTTTAAAGTAAGGGATACGATTTCTAATGGAAAACGGGTTCGATTGACTATCGACATGAAATCATGATATGAAATCATAAGATGAAATTAAAGTTTTGTTTAAACACGCAATATGAAGTTTTTATGTTGTATATGTTTTCTTTAACATAAGAATCTCATTAGTTGTAAAACTATTAAAATAATTATAATTATTCATATAATCTCCCCAAATAAACAAAAATATAAATTCGGATAGTAAAATTATTACAAAGTCATTGTTGTCAGCTTTGTTCACTCTATGTAAATGAAAAATTGTTATTTTTTTAATCAAACATTAAAGTGATAGTAATAAATTTTGTTGATAAATAAATTTGATTAAAAACAATGAATTTGATGAATATAAATGATAAAGTATGAATTCATTCAAAGTAATAATAAATTTATGCTGGTGAGATAATAAATTTTAAAAAGTAATGATATGATTATAAAGTTTATATACATATGAAATAAATGATTAGTAAATATAAATATGAATTGCTTCAACAAAATATAAATGTGTAAGTCAATTTTTACATTCAAACAATTCTAAATCATGATATAAAACTATCAAATCATGATTTTTAGAAAATATGAGATTATATATGATGATATCATATCAATAATGTGTGTAGGTTGTGCATTCTTGCTTGCTCAAGGACCATGCTAATCATTGCTTATGTATTTTTCCAATTTTATTGGATATCCCTAAAGGAATTACGTGTATATGAAGTGGTAAAAGGTTAACGCTGAGCACGCTCAAGTGTATATTGAGTACCATTAATCTTTTTGGATATCTCTATTTATTTTTATTGATACTTTTTATTTATAATAAAGAGTCGTTAGACACTTTATTAGTGATAAATTATTTTTTAAAAAGAGTTACCATTACTATCGCTAGAGTATATATTGCGATGTTTTTAATTTTGATAAAGCAGAAAGTATGATTTTAGTAACATTTTACTGAATTTTTTTATTAAAAAAAAAAATTCACAAAGTACTTGTTGAAGTTGTTGGAATCAATTTTTCCTGTCGATGACTTGTTTGATAAATGTTTTCTTGCTTATATATATATTATATTAATGTTAATGTACTATAATTAAGTTTGTAAATATCAACAAGAACTTGTTGATCTTAACCTTCGGTATGTAGCTGATTAATTAATAATGAGGGAAGTATTGAAATCACCTCTAAATTAGCGCAAATTATTAGTTTCATTTTTAAACTATTGACAGTTTTAAAAATACTCTTCAGCTAGATTTGTTGAGCTTAAATACACCTTCGATCTTGCAATATGAGTGAAATATATCCTAAATTCTCGTCAAGCTTAGGGGTATGTTCAACACTTTTCCTGACTTTTAAGAGTTTGAGCCATTTGCTATGTCAAGTGTAGTGATGGCAAATGGACGGGTTGAAAATGAATCAACATAAAATAGGTAATAATTCAACCCGCTCATATTTGATAAGGGTAAAAAATAGATTGGGTAACATATGAGTTGGGTAAAATACTAATTTATCAATATTTTTTATGAGTAAATAGTACTATAGTTAAGAATTCAACATGAAGAAAATATTTTAGTCTTTTTTTAGATGAAACATGTTGAAAATGCTTCATTTAGTTTCATTGTATCATTAAAAAAAAAACATTAATTTTTTTTTCTGAGTTTGGGGGGGAGGGGGTCGAGGATAGGGCTGAAAAATAAAATTTTGAAGTTGAAAATATTCTTTTAAAACAAACTTTTTTTTGGGGGGGGGGGGGCGCTAGTAGGAGTGGTGGGGGCTGGTAGGGGTGGGTCAATGGTAGGGATGAAAAAAAATGAAATTTTTAAAGTTGAAAATATTTTTTAAAAATAAAATTATTATTATTATTATTATTTTAGAGGGAGGGCGGCTAGTAGGAGCGGGTGGAGCTTGTAAGAGGGTGGGTGGACGGGTTCGAGGGTAGGGGTGAAAAAATGAAATTTTGAAGTTCAAAAATTTTTTAAAAATAAACTTAACTTTTTTTGGGAGGAGAGGGGGCTTGTTTTATCAAAAAATGATTTCGAAAAGAGTTTGTTTTTAAAGATATTTTTTGAATTTTAGGAGTCGCCACTAAATTTTGAGAAAATTAAGAAAACTTATTTTTTCAAACAACTAAACAGAAAATCGTTTGAAAAATTTTAAGGGGGTTCGGGATTCCTATTAGCGTCTTAGGAAAGTTTCAAAAAAAGCACCTAAGACGCTCCATTTACTACGGTTTTCCGATGATTAACAATTTGACTATTTTATTTTACCGTTTGCAAATCTTTTGTTATTTTGAACTCATTAGGAATTTACTTAGGCGAATTTTCAAGTTTCGAAATATTTCATTGTTTATCTTCCGATTTTGCAAATCCATTCCGAAATTAAACTTTCTTAGAGTTTTTACTTAGCCAAATGTACCAGTCGAAATATTTATCGCTTTGAGACTTAATTTTAGCTTGATAAAATAGAAAAGGCGCTTCGAAGGTAGTTTGGAGTTTTCTAATCCTAAAACTAACGATAACCCACAGAAAAGGATATGAAACAAGTAGCGGGGGAGGGGAGAGAGAGAGAGAGATTTGGGTCCAAACTCGGGTTCTGTTCGCCTTGACCGAATTTTGAACCCACCTGTTTTTTTGGGTTTCGACCCATTTTCCACCTGTCCTAATCTAAACATACAAAATAAAAATACAAGAGAAGGAAAATAATCAGTAAGGTCTTATGCCCATTACAAATAAAATACAAAAATAAAATAAAGAGGTCTTCTGATTTGACGCCTTCGACTATCTTCGATCCACATGAAACTTCGAATCTGGCATGTTTGCCTTGACTCGGTGGAGAGACATTTAGAGCCTTTATGGCTCTCTCCCGAAATGTGAAGAGGAGAATAGAATCCCAAAGCGGACTCACGAGAAAATTTCACATGCGACAAAAAACAGAAGAATGAGAATTGGCATTTTAACCAAATAACTGAAATAAACACAACTCTTTTTCTTTTCTTTGAAATATGAGTAAAGGAAAGATATGCAGCATTTCCAAATGCATCTCAATATACGAGCATAACAAAGGCTTCTTTAACATGCGACACTACACAAATGTTCACGAGAATAACAGAACCAACATCCCGACGATTTTAATGATGCTTAAGGCTATGTAAAATCATTTCAACTTAAGTGAAGCCACACAACAATACATTAAGATATGCTGTCAATCCAAATATGGAGAAATCTTTACACGAAATTATTGACAACCCCACTTCGTTGAAGAACAGACTTATCAAGAAAACAAGTAACTAAGTGCAACTGAAATGCACCAGGTTGTTAACATCCAACTAATCATTTGTGCTTCAAAAACTAGAACATCTCTCACTTAAGTTTTAGAGAGATTTCACCATAATGAAGCAACACAAAATCATTCAGATCAAGGCTAAGAACAAAAGAGCTAAGGACTGCATACGAATTCAAACTGAAAGGCTTTGACGACAACAAAAGTACGAAACCTAAACATTCAACTACCAACCACCAGAAATTTCGACGAAGTATCGAAACGAACAATGAAGAAGACGCTCAAGTAAACAGCGGATATTTCTAGCATGAAACGTACATAAGCAGCCAAACACTTAAATGCGATAGCGAAAACAGTAGCAAAACAAGGGGAACCAACAACGGAACACCATTTCTCATCCGACGTCGAAACAAGACGTGACTCAATAAATAGCAACCAAACATTTAAACATGAGGAGAAACCAAAATGAAAACAGAGGAATAACAGTCGGTGAACAGCAAAAAATCAAACGAGAAACTACCACGTACATCAGATTCTGCAGAGACCAAACATGCTAAATACATTCGCAACAAAACATATCCGAGATGGAAGAGAGATTACCTCTTCGAAAGCAGCGGCACTGAGAGAAGACGAGTTTGAAAGAGGGCGAGCTTCCACACTGAAGGTGAACACGAACCACGACTCTACGCCTATCTCGTTCTTGGTAAAACTCCCAACAAAAGATTGAGCTTCCCTCAAAATCGAATGGAGGAGAAAGCTCTGGAAGAAATCAGTAAGGAAATCTAGGCCAAGTTTCTCAACTGTTCTTACGAAAATAATGTTGAATGCCTTGAATCGGACCCGCTACAAACAGAAAGGACGGGGGTCTCGCTGCCCGGTCAGCGAGTCGGGGGGTCCAGGGGGGCGACGCGCCCCCTGGCCTGGGGGTCCAGGGGGGCGGAGACGCCCCCGGCCCGACGGTATACAATGTTGTTGTATTGGGCCCTTAATTTTCTGTTGATTCTGTATGTTGGGCCCAAGCCTGTTAGGGCGTAGCTCAGCACTATATATAGACGCTATGGGAAACCCTATTCTGTAATTCTGTTTTTGCCTCTCCATAATAAAACTGCTCCCTCTCTTCCCGTGGACGTAGCCAATTTATTGGTGAACCACGTAAATCTGTTGTCTTGTTTTTCGCGTTTATATTTTCTCGTATTATCTCAAATTCCGCACAACAAATAAAATAGCTCAAACAAACGATTCGGCTGTTCTTCCACAAAGACAGAGGAAGAACAAGTATTTCCTAAACAGATTCCTTATCCAAAATTTCTAAACCCAGACTTTCTCCAAGCTTTTCAACTCCGAAAAATTCCAACCAAATGTCTAACTCCAACACTCTCAAAAAATCTCCAACCCAAAAATCTAACTCCAAAAACTCTAACCTTTTTTTCTGAAGAGAGGTGGGGTTTAAATAGAAGAAACTAGGGTTTCGAGGGGAAGACGATTTCAGCCCATTTCGAATTCAAAATTCAAATTTTTCCGCCAAGCTGAAGGAATATCCCCTTTTGATGCTGGATTCCCAACGGGTGGGGGCATATGTGGAGGGTCGAGATGAGTTCTTCGTCCTTGGTAAGCGACGTGGCTCAATCTCGTTGCCAAAGGACAACTTTTCAGCCTCCCTTGCTGCCAGACCTGCGACAAGAGACAGATGCAGGTTTCCCAGATTCTTTCGTCCACGCGCGATGGAGAGAAGGAGAGAGAGCGTGGCTGCTGGGGCGTTCTATTTTTCTGGGAAATCGCTGGGTTTCGCGACTGGGGAGGGGGATTTTGTTTTTGCTGGGTTCGCAGCTTTTCTGGGAATTGTTTTTTTGTTGGGTTTCTGTTTTCTGGGGAACGCGTAGGGGCGCTGGGGGAAGAAGAAGTGGATTGGGAATTTCGGTCGGGAATTGGGGCGGGTTTAAAATTAAAGGGAGTTGGGCCTGGGGAAATGGGTTGAGGGGGAATTTGGGCTTTGAGGGATTGAGTTGGGTTGGGTTGAGGGGAATGTTGGGCGTTGGGCCGTCTGAATGGGAAGGGGATTGGATTGGGCTGCTAAGAAAAGAAACGGATGGGCTGGAAATAAATTGGGCCTGGGAATTAGGAAGTAAAACTTGGGCTAAAAAAAAACAAAAGGGAAAGGGCCCAAATTCAGTTCTTCAAAAAGAATTAAAGGGAAAAAGAGTTAAACTTACTAAATAGCATATCGAATTAAAATGAAACGAATTTGGTATAAATTTATTGACAAGCTTATTTATTTGGTAACATAATTATTTAAATTGTAAAATAGCGACTCAAATATAATTGTGATTTAAAATAAACTAGTTTAATAGAATACTTTTAAAACTTAAGATACACACACACACACACACACACACATATATAATTATGTAAAATATATATATTATCTAAAAGTTATAAGAAAATGACAAAATTATTCAAAATAGCGCGAACTTTATATATATATATATATATATATATATTTATTTATTTATAAAAGTAATTATTTTAACTTGTTTAGAAATTTAAGATGCTCGAAAACTAATTTATACTGGCGCGGGTCAAAATTGAGTGTCAACAGGGCTGGTAAGGGGGGGGGGGTCGACGGTACAGGTGAAAATGTTTAGCCTTCATACCAAACACACCCTAAAACATGCTTAATGCACTTTAAACAATGTCAATACTAGTACATGATTTACTTATTTTACACTATTATTTATTATTCAATATAAAATTAAACAAATAAAAAAAATACAATTATAATTAACAAAAGAAATGTACATTTATAATAGATATTTTTGGAGGGCTAAAGACTTCACACTTTCAATTATAGAGAAATAATTAGTTTTATAGAAGAACATAAAAAGGAAGAGAAGTTACAATATATTTGGTAATATCATGAACTTTGAGTGAATAGAAGTTGGAGGCTTAGCTCATTTGGGTAATCCATATTTTACCCAACATTACCCATATTTTATCCATATTATTTTTACGGGTTGAATATGGGTCTCAACCCATATTTTACCCATGTAAAAAAGCACTCATCCAACCCATTAAATAGGGGTGTAAATGACCGGATTGGTTCGAGTTTTTCAAATATTAAATCAAATCATTCTTGTAAAAATTTTAAATTTATAAACTAAACCAAACTAATAAAATTTGGATTTTTGTGGGTTTTTCAACCTCGGGTTGGTTCGAATTTTTCAAATACCAACCAGACCATTATGTTGAATTTTTAAATTTATAAATCAAAACAAACTAATGAACTTCAGATTTTTCCAGATTCTTAAATTTTTTGGGTAAAGTTTGCACACAAACATATAATTAATTTGTGCTCTAAATATTTCTTTAGTTCAAGCAAAATACAATTATCTAAGGTGTTTCTTAAAAAAGTAACACAAAATATGAGATGAGTATTGATGACACAAAAATACTCAATAATAAATAATAATGAAATATGAAATAAATATTGTAAAGTCATAATGAAAATAATCATAATAAATCATGCTAAAATAAGTTTTATAAGTATTAGTTGCATTACTAAATACTTAAGGAAAATTAAAATTAGATTATGTATTATAATTGTCTAAAAAATCATAATTAAAGAACAAACATTCAATATTATTGTCAGAATTGATTTTCTTTTTGAATTAGTATTAATTTGATTTTGATTTAAGTTTTATTATAATTATCAACATCTATGAACTACAATCTTTATTGGATCATTCCGAATTTTAAGTTTTAAAATTGAAATAAAATATTAAAAGATAAAAACTATCAAATAGTATAAGAAATATTTTAAAATGACATCAAAGTAAATATTTTTATGTATAAAATAAAATTTTAAAATCACATATATATAATGTCGGGTTGGTTTGGCCTCAGGTTGTTTTTTTAAGTTAAAACCCATCAACCCAAATATACTCGATTTTTTTTCCAATACCAAACCAAGTCAAGCCAAAGCACTAGTTGAGTTTTTTTCGGTTTGATTTAATTTGCGATCTGATTCGATTTTGTACACCCCTGCCATTAAATATGAGCGGATAAAGCAGATTACCAAAATATGGGCTCATGTTTCTAGCACTAGTCATGTATGGTAGATCGTTGGTGTATCTAAATTTAGTTAGTCAAATAACAATATATTTCTAAAACTATAAATAGTTCAGTAATAAAATTATTAATTTATCTGAAGTTTAAGAGTATTTTCAACACTTCTTTTCATTAAGAAATATAATTGATCAATAAAGTAAAAAAATAACTATTATATGGAAATGGAATCATATATATTCACACTTTGTATAGATCACAAGATGAAATAGATAGCTTTAATTAAGGTTTGTTTTTGTCTTGGACGGCTGTGTTTAACATGTCAAGAAGCTCGTGTAATTCATATTTCAAAAGTATATTAGGTCGCACGAACAAAGAATGTATTGCTTTCTCATTTTACAACCAAATTAAACTTTTAGGTCAAAGTTGTGATGATAATTAATTACACTGCATGCTTGTCTTCAAACCTATTGGAAACCACGTTTGTGGTCTCATAGCTAGCAAAACTATTCGGTTCAATTTATTTGTTCTATTTTTCTTTAGAAATGATACATTTCATTTTTAGCATTCTTAATTTTTAATTTATTTTTTCAAGTGATATTTATAAGATTACAAAATTAAAAATTATTTTTGCACATTTGACAAATTTTTAATTAATTTAAAACAACAAAATTTAATTATTATTATTTTACTTTTGTAAACTGTATGTCAAAGTTGAAATAGGAAAAACAAATAGGAAAAAAGAATGTATTTTGTCCTTTTCCTTAAATTTTAATATATATTACATTTTTTCTTATTTCGCTGGGCCAGACCGCTTTTGGGTATGGCATATAAGATCTATTCTTTTTAAGAAAAATTACGCAGTTAAACAAACTTATAATAGTTAATTATTCATCGTAGTTATAATTTGTTATACTTACAACTAACATTATACACTAATAACGTGGGATGACTTTGAGTTTGTGTAATTAGCCACGTTTTGTATATGCATAATTCGCCAGAACATACAAATAAATATGCTTAATATACAATTATCTAACATATATACATATACATAT